GGCAAAGTATTGCCTTAGAGCACACTTACCATTTTCCATGGTAAAAGATAATATAATATAGTTAAAGTGAACTGGTGGAAGATTGAAATTGAGTGATACTTTTTCTAAGAAAATTTCAGCTTAAATACAAGACTCCCAAACAACTTTTAAATAAATTATCTCATCTGACATCTGAGTAATTTCCTGAACAACTTTGTAATTCTTGAATAATCTCCTTATTTGGTAAAAAAGTAATTGAATGAATCACTTTGCATTTCAAACATCATGAAAAGGGAAAAACCAGCTCATGAATAATCTCCTTATTTGGTAAAAAAGTAATTCCGTGAATCACTTTGCATTTCAAACAACATAAACTCATTATTTGATCAATTAATTCTCATGTTTGAGAATAGTAAATGTGATAAATCACCTCATCTGTCAGCATAAACTGAATCAACATGCTTAAGAAAACAAGAATTGAATAATCAAGTCATTGCCGACATATGATGCAACTAATCAGGTGAAGAAATCAAGCACAATTAGGCTGATAGATAATACAGCTTTGAAATAAACCTAAAATGAGAGAATTAGCATAAAAGAAGTGGTAAAGCCAATTGACATTTGAACATTTGACCCTAACTAATTATACTTGTCAATTCCAGAAGGGAAACATTCGTTTCCCTTCTTTCATTCAGGTTCAGCCTTGAACAATTAAAGAATCATTGAAGCATTTAAAACAATAGATACCGTAAGATGGTATTAAGAAAATCAAACGGTCAAGTGAAAATCATTGAAGCATTCAAAACCATAGATACCGTAAGATGGTGTCAAAAATCATTGAAGCATTAAAAACATTAATATCGAAAGACGGTGTCAAGGTCAGCCGTTAGGTCAGCCGAGCGTAAAATCAATCATGCGAAAGGGGGTGGAGGTAATTCCGTTTCCGGTCTGTGGAGTTGAAGCGTATGTTTTCGTACTACTCACGTTGATTAGGGTCAACGAAATTGGGATCAATCGACAATACGATCAATCATTACTTGTTTAGCTAGTTGGTTGCAAAATAATTGATGCAAAATAATTGTGGAAGACGAGGATCTCAATAATCAATAGAAACTTGTCTTGAAATAACAAGGAATACAACAAGGTACATGTTCGTCGGTTTTGAACTTTTGAATTAAAATGTTCTAATGGGTCAGATATGCTCCTTTGTCAAGCTTTCCGTTTCGAAAACTATCTTTGTAAAAGTTACAGTTCAATTTTTGCATAATTTGCGCTGTTCAAAAGTGTTGATTTCATCCCAGTAGCATGCCGAAATTTCAGTCATCAATTGAATAGGAATAACTGGATACTATTTTTCTGATGCTTTTGAAATATTAATCTTTAGATGCAAGTATTTACACCTAAAAACAGATATCTGATAATCTTTATTTTAGATCAACCTAAAATTGTTAATTCTATTGTTTTCTAACAATCTCATTAGCGTCATTGATCATCTGCACCCAGTCACAAGTTATTAATTTATTTGAGATAATAATTTGCGTTTGATACTAATTAGTTAGCTATATAAATAAGAATACTTTCTTGCAATTATTGTTTATTCAAAAATGTTTTGTTATTGTTTTGTTTCATTTTTTCGCCTATTTATGGGCTCAATTTAACTCCAATAGTTAATTTGACTAGTGGTCCTATCCAAGGTAAAGTTACTGAATATGAATCGATTGGTGTTTACCAGTTTCTTGGTATTCCTTATGCAAAGCCACCGGTTGGTAAGTTGAGGTTACAGTTACCAGTTAAACCAGATCCATGGACTGAGGTTAAATCAGTGACTGACTTCGGTCCAGTTTGTCTCCAACCAACAAGTCCACTTGACACAAGAAGAACCAGCGAAGACTGTCTTTATCTGAATATCTATGTTATCGAATCAACTTTTATTAACTCATCAGAAAGACTGCGACCAGTACTATTCTGGATTCATGGAGGAGCTTTTACATCAGGATCTGGCAATGCAGACACTGGAGGTATTCCAATGGTCCCGTTGCGTGATGTTATACTTGTTACTATGAATTATCGTCTTAATGCATTCGGTTTTATCTACTTTGGAGCCGATGAACCTCGAATTCCTCCAAATATTGGTTTGCATGATCAACTATTTGCTTTGAAATGGGTTCATGAAAATATTCATATGTTTGGTGGTGATCCGAATAGTGTGACAATTTTCGGGGAATCTGCTGGATCTTGGTCAGTTTCAGCTCACCTATTATCCCCACTTTCCAAAGGACTCTTCAAACGAGCTATTCTTCAGTCAGGAACAGTTTATATAGACCATGATTTAGATACATTGATTACTGATTCTTGGAAGCTTTATAACGAAACAGCATGTTCGAAATCGGAAGATGTTCTTGAATGCATGCAGAATTTGACTGCAAAGGAAATTTTGAAAGGTTTAGGTATAAATTAGTAGCATTTTCCTTCACAGTTGGGGACGATTTCCTTCCATACGAACCATCCAAAATTCTTGCAGAAGGATTATACGATAATTCAGTTGACCTTTTACTAGGCGTTGAAAAGAATGAAGCTTCAATTTTCATGAATGGCATCGATCCCATAGCCTTCAATTACGTTTCTCCTAAGCCGATATCTTTTCATGAAGCTACAAACTTTTTGGAACGTATTTTTGATTCTAAATCAATTGACTATTTTTGTGAACTCTACATTGGTCCGGAAACTAACAATTCAGATTATTTGCGATGTCAACTTGAAAGAGCTTACAGTGACCTTTTATTTGTTTGTCCGACTTATATCTTTGGTCATCAATATGCTTCTAATTTAGGCAAACAGGGTGGTAAAGTGTATGCTTATTTCCACACACAAAGACCAAAAGCTTATCTTTCTTTTTTTAACGAATGGATGGGAACATTTCATTCTTCTGATATTCCATATGTTTTCGGTTTACCTCTGATAAAGTCTGGTTATTCACAGAAAGATATTTCATTGAGTCATGAAATGATGAAAATCTGGACTCATTTTGCTGAAAATGGGTAAGTCTATTCATTTCATTGCGTATTCAATTAAATGACTTTGATTCACTATTTATTTACAGTGAGCCTCCAATGGTTGGTGAAACTAAATGGAAACCATTCCAAGAAAAGATGTCAGCAATGATATTGAATATCGATGATTGGGGAAAAACTGAAACGGAAAGAGTTGAATTTTGTCTCAAACAATGGGATTATTTATATCCACATATTAGTAAGAAATGGAGGTTCATAAAATACCAATCGCCAATCCCATAAAAAGTGAACATGCAATTGAATAATTCATTTGTGGTCATAAATCATGTCCGACGCAACAAGCAGATGTGCTGCGATAAGATGTAACATTTTAATTTTCCATTCCCATTTTGATATTAAATTCTTTTTGTACTAATTTTCATAAACAATATTAAGGATTTATATACCAATGCTGATGATGTTTGAATAAAATGAGTATCTTTCGAATTAAGCATAGAAATCTATTATTAATGGAAAAAATCTTTTTCCTTCAACTGGACTTTTAGCTGGATTTTTTCCTCGACATATTAAACTCTACATATGAACCAGAACTTCTCAATAAAACAAAATTGGGGGGAACTTCTTATTAAACTCAATTAGGTTACAAATTTTTCAGGGCACCAGATTTTTCACCTAACTCTTTACTTTTTAACAACAATGAGCCATAAACCTGAATAACAAAAAAGTTTCCCTCTCACTCCATGTTATTGAACACGGATTCTATTATACATTTTTTTCCCCCACCTCTATTTTCATGAATTTGCAAGAAATAAACCTTAACACCCTTTATTTTTCTTGGATGTAGTTGAATCAGAACTTTCATGCTGTGTAATTTTTTTCTTAGAGTCCGTTCAGTTTGGCCACAACCTCGAACCAAAAATTTGATATATTGAGTAGATGTGTAGATTGTGTAGATTAATGTAATACTTTATTTTTTTATATTATTGTTGAAAATACGTATTTTTACATGAAATTAGTCCCCACTGTTTCATGAGACCCATCATAAGTGTATCATTTTTCAATTGTGAAAGTTCATTGGAAGTTGACTTTAAACATCATAATGAGACAAATGTTTTCGATCACATACTGCAAATGGAAAGCAAATGTTTTCTAGCAAATACTGAAAATGGAAAGAAAGAGCACAGTTAATATGAATCAATCAAAGAAATCAGTAGATACTCACTATCACAAAAATTCGAGTAGTTAGATCCAACATTGTACCCATAGTGAATGCAATATCAGTTCTTGAAAGTCGATCTTCTAAATCAGTTACCTGAAAATCAAAAGTTCATTAAATTTTCATTTTTTATGAATAAACCAAATATTACCTTTATGAAGGCTTGCACGTTCAATTGCAAATGTTTAGTTGCTTTCCTTAGATTCTTGCAACAGGAGTTCATCTAAAGTAATATAATAGTTTAAACGTTATTGAATGAAAACATTGAAAATAACTCTATACCTTTGCCAACAAGACTCCATTGGTGTATGAACAAGCTGCAGTCGTTACTAAGCCAATCATAGCAGCGTTCACAATGAAAAAGTCCATGAATCCACGATCAATATGAACAAAAACTGCAGAGTAAATTCCAAAATCGTCAACAAAAGAGATTCCTAGGTAAGTGAATATGAAAAAGTTCCTAATTCTAATACACTGCTCGTCAAAAGTATAAGGCCACTTGATTTTTCTTTATAATTTTTGAAATAAAAGGTAAAAAAACGTATTATACTTTTGATCATATGGCTAACATATGTGCGCCTTAATTTTAATCTCCACAGTGCGATTATCGCTCCAAAACTAACTTTAATTAAGCAAAAGCGCTATTCTTGGAAAGCTTAAACTAATCCAATTAGAAAGAGTTGAAAGAATCACTTAAAAATCGGCAAGCCAAAAGCCACTGAAAATATACTGTTCCAATGTTTGGGGGTAATTTAGACACTGAATTAAAAATGAAGATTAAAAATCGGTGCGAAACTAATTGTAGCACAAAATATTACTCTACCCCAAAAAATTGCTAAAATTGGTAGCAAAAAAACGCAATTTTCGGCAGTAAAATTGATCCATGCATAAAACTTGACTCTTAAAGCCATTTGAATATACCAATTCGAACTTGAAAGATGCGAAGTGACCATCCTTAGTCAAATATATCCAAAAGTGTCTTAATACTTCACCAAAAATAGATACATTCAAAAAGAAGAGCCAAAAGAAACGACCATTCGGATGACCATAGAAAAAGTCACCAAGAAGAAGATGCCATTCAACGGGTAGATCAAAGATACTCAACAATATCAAGTGGATGATATTAACTGTCATTAAACTCAAGTAAAGAGTGGATTTTGTTTTAGTCCACTTCGATGGCGTTACTCCTGGATCTCTTGAAAATTGATTTGGTAATAGATTATATGAAATGCATATTGATTCCAGTTGCTTCAAATATTTGACTGCTACAGCATCATCAACATCACTCCAGCGAACCCCAATCACATGCCGAACCAATTTCGATACAATCTCCGAGAGATTGTGTCTAACCCTTAGCATGGCTTTATGATACAACCTTACTTTGCAAAACTCACAACCCAAAAATCGTAATGAATGCTCTTCAAAAAATCAACTGTTTTGGTTGGTAATAGCTTTTATTTATGTTGTTTGCAAGTAAAGGCAACATCAATAAATGAGTAGGAGAATCGTTGAATCTTTTTCTTTTAAATTTTATTTCAGTGATAATTGTCTGATCAGTCTATTTCTTTGAATTACTGGCATTATGCAAACACAGTGGCACAATAGTGAACAACCAACTAATTAATAAAATAAGAAGTTGCTTAAAAATGAGATTTTCAACTCATCAATAATTAAAAATATTTCCAATAATATCATTACTAATATTCATGTACATTGATCAATTTATGAATATAAAATGAAGAAAATGTGCAATAGCAATTATCAGTTGTTTCAATTGTTTTTTTTCAAAAACTCATCGACATTAATTGATCGAAATCAAAATAAGAGTTGAATAAATTTCGAAATACACGTAATTAAAACTCAAGATTGCCTGTAAATTATTCAATTCAAAGGCAAGTTTTGATTGCAAAATATTTTTATCAGTTCTTAATAATCGGCTCCTTGAAAATCAAGAGTCGATTAAGTTGGTAACTAACTAACTATTAGAATAGTGTCAGTAAAAAATGAGCTTCCAGTACTAACCTGTTAATAGCCTTAAAACAAAAAAAAAATTCATTTTCAATGCCATAACATCACCTCTAGTCATCTTTCGTAATCTTTTATTTGAAAAGTTCATTGAAAGTTGACTTTAAACATCATAATGAGGCAAATGTTTTCAATCAAATACTGAAAATAGTAAAAAATATAATATACAGTTACTTTGAATGATCTGAAGAAAGCAATTGATACTTACTATCACGAAAATTCTAGCAGTCATATCGAAAACTTTACCAATAGTGAATGCAATATCAGTGCTTGAAAGTCGCTAAGTCAGTTCCCTGAAAATCAAGAGTTCATTAAAATTAAGCTCTTTATGATGAAGCCAAACATTACCTTTATGAAGTCTTGCACGTTCAATTGCAAACGACTTGTTATTTTCCTTAGATTCTTGCAGCAGAAGTTCATCTAAAAGTAAAATTAAATATTAAGTGAAAACATTAAGATTCCTTTTATACCTTTGTCAGTATGGCTCCACTGGTATATGAACAAGCTCCGATGCCTGCAAAGCCAATCATAGAAACGCCTGCAATGAAAAAGTCCATGAATCCGTGATCAATATGAACAAAAACTCCAATGTAAACGCCAAAATTGGCAACAAAAGAATTCCCTAAGTAGAAGAATACAAGACAGTTTCTAAAGTGAATATTCGCTTGTTCAATTTCATTTTGATATTGGATAATTTCACAAACAGTAGCTTTGTAATCAAGCAAATAGTCATCATTGTTCATGTAGCTTCTTTTCGTGGCAAGATCGCGCACAGTTCGGGCTACATGTGCGGTTTTAAAGTAGAAGTATGACAAATGAACTGCAGCAACACTGCCAGTTAACAGTAAGTTGCTGAGGGTACAAACGATTCCAAGATAACTGATGACAAGCCAAAAGCCAGTGTAAATATACTGTTCAGACGTTTGCGGGAGTTTAGACGCTGAATGAAAGATGAAGATTAAAACTGGTGCAAAACTAATCAAGACGCAAAAGTATATCCTAACCCAAAAAATAGCTAAATTAGTAGATACAAGCCGCAACTTTTTGCAGTAAAATTGATCCATGAATAAAACTTGATGTTTATATCCTCTTGTATGTACTAAATGTTGCAACTTCAAGGTTGTCAAGTGACCATTTTCAATCAAATATATCCAATAGTGTCTTAATACTTCACCAAGAATGGATGCATTTAAACAGAAGATCCAAAAGAAGCGACCATTTGGATGTCCATAGAAAAAGTCACCAAGAAGAAGATGCCATTCATCGGGTAGATTAAAGCAACTCAACAATATCAAGTGAATGATATTGACTGTCATTACACATAAGTAAAGGATGGACTTTATTGTAGTCCATTTTGATGGCGTTACACTTGGATCTTGTGAGAATCCGTTTGGTAATATATTGTATGAAATGCATATTGATTCGAGTCGCTTCAAATGTACAATTGCTACAGCATCATCAACATTGCTCGAGCGAAATCCAATCACGAGTCGAAAAAATTTGGATACAATCTCAATCTGTTTACTTCGCAACATAGCTTTACGCTTCAACTTCACTGTAGCTTTTAATAATTCACAATAGTAAAATTGTAAACAATGCATCAATACTATCTGAATGAGAATTAAAAATGCTCTTGTAAAGATCATCTAACATTTCAAATGTTTTGGTTGCTAATAGCTTTTATTCATGTCTTTTTCGAGGGAATGGCAAAATCGATTGCAAATTCGTTGAATTATTTTCCTTTCTACTGTATTCAAAGTGATAATCATCTGTAAAGATGAAACCAACTG